TAATACAATACAAGAGGTTATTCACAGTACATCTATGTACTGCAATACAAGAGGTTACTCACAGTACATCTATGTAATACAATACAGATACAGTCTTACCTCTCCCTGGAAGCTCTTGAGCAGGGGAGCCACCTGTTTTCTTACATCCTGAAAGACATAGAAGAAACCGTTTAGAATGGATCGTTTCCAGAGTCACTGAGTACACTGATAAACACACAGTACTAATTTATACTGTTGTTGTTTTACATCAAATGGTTTCACTCACACTGGCATCAGCCTGTTTGACCACATCAACCCTGTACATAGGACATTTTTGTGCACATTTCCACATTTAAAGCAACCCAACCTCACCCCCACAGTCCCATTGCATGGCATTAGAGCATGAGTCAGCGGTTTCTGATTAGATACCCAGTGAAGTGTGTATCTCTGGGAACATGCAAATTCACATACAGTTAGTTAGATAGACTAAAGCCCTTTAGAGATGCAGTGGAGCGTACACTAGATTACAGTACACTACACTACACTACAGTACACTAGACTACAGTACACTAGACTACAGTACACTACAGTACACTACACTAGACTAAAGTACACTAGATTACAGTACACTACAGTACACTAGACTACAGTACACTACACTACAGTACAGTACACTAGACTACAGTACACTAGACTACAGTACACTACAGTACACTAGACTACAGTACACTAGATTACAGTACACTAGACTACAGTACACTAGACTACAGTACACTACACTAGACTACAGTACACTAGACTACAGTACACTAGACTACAGTACACTACAGTACACTAGACTACAGTACACTAGACTACAGTACACTACACTAGACTACAGTACACTACACTAGACTACAGTACACTACAGTACACTAGACTACACTAGACTACAGTACACTAGACTACAGTACACTAGACTACAGTACACTAGACTACACTAGACACAGTACACTAGACTACAGTACACTACACTAGACTACATACACTAGATTACGTACACTACATACAGACTACAGTACACTAGACTACACACACTAGACTACAGTACACTACCTAGACTACAGTACACTACAGTACACTAGACTACACTAACTACACTACACTAGACTACAGACACTAACTACAGTACCTACATACACAGTACACTAGACTACAGTACACTAGACTACAGTACACTACAGTACACTACAGTACACTGGACTACAGTACACTAGACTCCAGTACACTGGACTACAGTACACTAGACTCCAGTACACTACAGTACACTAGACTACAGTACACTAGACTACAGTACACTACAGTACACTAGACTACAGTACACTACAATACACTAGACTACAGTACACTAGACTACAGTACACTACAGTACACTACACTAGACTACAGTACACTACAGTACACTACACTAGACTACAGTACACTAGACTCCAGTACACTACAGTACACTAGACTACAGTACACTAGACTACAGTACACTACAGTACACTAGACTCCAGTACACTACAGTACACTAGACTACAGTACACTAGACTACAGTACACTAGACTACACTAGACTACAGTACACTAGACTACAGTACACTAGACTACACTAGACTACAGTACACTAGACTACAGTACACTACAGTACACTACACTAGACTATAGTACACTAGACTACAGTACACTAGACTACAGTACACTAGACTACAGTACACTAGAGTAGGACAGAATGGGTAATCCTGTCCAGATGGCTCCAGATAGACACACTTTAGATCAGGAACACATACATACATATATATATATATATAACCTTTATTTAAACAGGGAGTCACATTGAGATTAAAAATCTATTTTACAAGACAGCCCGGTATACATTTCAATAAAAACAGAATAATAAAACATACACATGTATAAAACAATATAATTCAGCACACAGTAAACCAAAATAAACGTATTTTATAAAAAGCAATCACATTCAACTACATAGAGGTCCTCAATCAATCATTTAAACTGCCTGAGTGGCACCAGCACATCTACCTGCATTGAACTCTACAGACTGTTCCACAAATTAGGGGCAAAAAAACAATACGCAGATTTTCCCAAATCTGTGGAGACTGAAGGGATCTCTAGTGTTATCCATTCATGAGAACGGGTTCGGTTACTTATGATTCTTAACTTAATTCATGAAGTTACATATGGAGGGAGTTTCTGTAAATAAATAAAAGAGAATGCAGCTCTCTTCTTACAGACAGAGAGGAAACATCATGAAACTAACTACACGGTGGTGTGTGTGTGTGTGTGTACACTTATTTGACTGCCCCTGCTTAGTTAATAATAATAATAATAATAATTGGTCATTTAGCAGACGCTCTTATCCAGAGCGACTTACAAGAGCAAGTTCAGGGCCTGTATCCACAAAGCTTAGTTCAGGGCCTGTATCCACAAAGCTTAGTTCAGGGCCTGTATCCACAAAGCTTAGTTCAGGGCCTGTATCCACAAAGCTTAGTTCAGGGCCTGTATCCACAAAGCTTAGTTCAGGGCCTGTATCCACAAAGCTTAGTTCAGGGCCTGTATCCACAAAGCTTAGTTTCCAAGCTTACGGGCCTGTATCCACAAAGCTTAGTTCAGGGCCTGTATCCACAAAGCTTAGTTCAGGGCCTGTATCCACAAAGCTTAGTTCAGGGCCTGTATCCACAAAGCTTAGTTCAGGGCCTGTATCCACAAAGCTTAGTTCAGGGCCTGTATCCACAAAGCTTAGTTCAGGGCCTGTATCCACAAAGCTTAGTTCAGGGGCCTGTATCCACAAAGCTTAGTTCAGGGCCTGTATCCACAAAGCTTAGTTCAGGGCCTGTATCCACAAAGCTTAGTTCAGGGCCTGTATCCACAAAGCTTAGTTCAGGGCCTGTATCCACAAAGCTTAGTTTCAGGGCCTGTATCCACAAAGCTTAGTTCAGGGCCTGTATCCACAAAGCTTAGTTCAGGGCCTGTATCCACAAAGCTTAGTTCAGGGCCTGTATCCACAAAGCTTAGTTCAGGGCCTGTATCCACAAAGCTTAGTTCAGGGCCTGTATCCACAAAGCTTAGTTCAGGGCCTGTATCCACAAAGCTTAGTTCAGGGCCCGTATCCACAAAGCTTAGTTCAGGGCCCGTATCCACAAAGCTTAGTTCAGGGCCCGTATCCACAAAGCTTAGTTCAGGGCCCGTATCCACAAAGCTTAGTTCAGGGCCCGTATCCACAAAGCTTAGTTCAGGGCCTGTATCCACAAAGCTTAGTTCAGGGCCTGTATCCACAAAGCTTAGTTCAGGGCCTGTATCCACAAAGCTTAGTTCAGGGCCTGTATCCACAAAGCTTAGTTCAGGGCCTGTATCCACAAAGCTTAGTTCAGGGCCTGTATCCACAAAGCTTAGTTCAGGGGCCTGTATCCACAAAGCTTAGTTCAGGGCCTGTATCCACAAAGCTTAGTTCAGGGCCTGTATCCACAAAGCTTAGTTCAGGGCCTGTATCCACAAAGCTTAGTTCAGGGCCTGTATCCACAAAGCTTAGTTCAGGGCCTGTATCCACAAAGCTTAGTTCAGGGCCTGTATCCACAAAGCTTAGTTCAGGGCCTGTATCCACAAAGCTTAGTTCAGGGCCTGTATCCACAAAGCTTAGTTCAGGGCCTGTATCCACAAAGCTTAGTTCAGGGCCTGTATCCACAAAGCTTAGTTCAGGGCCTGTATCCACAAAGCTTAGTTCAGGGCCTGTATCCACAAAGCTTAGTTCAGGGCCTGTATCCACAAAGCTTAGTTCAGGGCCTGTATCCACAAAGCTTAGTTCAGGGCCTGTATCCACAAAGTAGGAGTGCTAATCTAGGATCTGTCCATACAATCTTATTCATTACGATCTAAAAGTCTGATTCTAGAACAGCAACCCTACCGCTTTGTGGATACTGGCCCTGAACAGTCACTCCCCTCCTGCTTCCCCCAGCTCTGTGAAGGACCCAGAGCAGCTTTAATAGTGCCCCAAGTTTCCCCTAAACCCATTTAAATCAGCCAGTCTCTAAATTTGGCTGAACAGACTGATTAGTTATTTAAAAACTAGCAGGAAGCATGCTGAAGGTCTACACACAGGAAAGACGTGATGAATCACTGTCAACTGTTTATCACGCACATGCATGTATGCCAGAGACTCAGTGTGTGTCTGTGTGTCAACAGGGCAGCCACAGTAAGATGGATGGCTGAGGTCAGCTGCTTGCCGACCGCCGGCCATCGGAATCACCTAGTGATCTGGAATTCCCACTCCGTCAGTCTGGCTATCTGTCTGTCTGTCTGGCTGGGAGGAGGATGAAGTGGTCCCTACTGACACTCATCTTAGGTCAGGTTTTAGTCTTCCGCCCTGTTGTAGTCAAGGTTAGGATTTAGGGAGGGTGAACTTCTTCCTGGAGCGTCTCAGATCACAACCCTTAAAGAAGTATATTCAATACCAGCCACACCACGCTGCAATTGGGCCATTGTTGTGATGTCATCATTGCTCGACTGCACTGTAGCATCATGGTGTCATGCTCTCAGTAAAGATAAAGACTAAAACGTGAATGTATTATTCACACAGGTAACCACACTACATGAATTATAACGTACTACAACCTTTCAGTCACCATTATCAGGAGCACTCTGTACAGCCCATGAAGAGTACAGCTTTAGTAAAGTACTGTGGTGGTCTCCTGCTGGCTGAATAATGAAGCAGACAGACTCATCTGGGTGAATCGAACCTGGTCTGATGTGGATGAATCGAACCTGGTCTGATGTGGATGAATCGAACCTGGTCTGATGTGGATGAATCGAACCTGCTCTGATGTGGATGAATCGAACTAGGTCTGATGTGGATGAATCGAACCTGGTCTGATGTGGATGACTCGAACCTGGTCTGATGTGGATGAATCGAACCTGGTCTGATGTGGATGAATCGAACCTGGTCTGATGTGGATGAATCTAACCTGCTCTGATGTGGATGAATCGAACCTGGTCTGATGTGGATGAATCGAACCTGGTCTGATGTGGATGAATCGAACCTGCTCTGATGTGGGTGAGTCTAATTTAATCTGATGTCATCTGATCTCTAGGCTGGTTAGACTCTTTAGGCTGGTTATTCAGAGCTGGTCCATGGTATGATCCTTTGTAGCTCAGTTAGTAGAACATGGCGTTTGCAACGCCAGGATAGTGGAATCGATTCCTGGGACCGCCCATACGTAAAAAATTTATGCACGCATGACTTTAAGTCGCTTTGGATAAAGCATCTTCTAAATGGCATATATTATCATATCAAATACACTGAGTGTACAAAACATTAGAAACACCTTCCTGATATTGAGTTGCACCGCCTTTTGCCCTCCGAACAGGCTAAATTCGTCGGGGCACGAACTCTAAAAGGTGACGAAAGCATTCCACAGAGGTCCTGGCCCATGTTGACTCCAATGCTTCCTACAGTTATGTCAAATTGTCTGGATGTCCTTTGGGTGGTGGACCATTCTTGATAGCAATGGCGGTCGGTGCCCCTTAAGATATTTTTTTTATATGAGCATGGCCTTCTATTATAGAATACTGTACGACTGTCATTCATATTCCATTCACCCAGCTCAAAGTAACATCGATAGGTTTAGGCTAATACATGATACTCAAATTTTCCTTGTACCCATCATGGAGGTTGATACAACCTAGCCTATGAATTAAAGTTTACAACGTAGGTGCACAGGTCGAGAGAATCACGCAGTACAGTGTACAGTCAGAAAGCAGTTCAGCAGTTATACCGGCGGGCCCCGGGGGCAATAAATTACTAAGACCAAAAGCTTATCTTGACTTGGAAGAGTTCTAGTGTTGGATAGCCATAGCCAGCTAGCTAACATAGCATCCCTCTCTGTTTGAGCCAGGTGTTTGAGTAGGCCAAATTAGCTAGCTGCATTCGCTAGCTAAGTGAACATTTTTTTTTTTTTTTTTTATACAACCAAATATAGCGCTCTCTCTCGCTTCTCCTTCATTTTGGAACAAATTAATTTGTTCAAAACTGTTCAATTATTGTCTCTCTGAGTCAACTACTGCAGTGCTAGCTAGATGTAGCTTATGCTTTCAGTACTAGAGTCATTCTCTGATCCTTTGATTGGGTGGACAACATGTCAGTTCATGCTGCAAGAGCTCTGATAGGTTGGAGGACGTTCTCCGGAAGTTGTCATAATTACTGTGTAAGTCTATGGAAGGGGGTGAGAACCATGAGCTTCCTAGGTTTTGTATTGAAGTCAATGCACCCAGAGGAGGACGGAAGCTGGCTGTCCTCCGGCTAAACCATGGTGCTACCCTACAGAGTGCTGTTGAGGCTACTGTAGACCTTCATTACAAAACAGTGTGTTTTAATCAATTATTTGGTGACATGTGAATATAATTTAGTGTAGTTTAATCTAAAAAAGGATAACTTTAACTACCCTACTCCATTCAAAGGCACTTAAATATTTTGTTTTGCACACACACACACACCATGTATAATTGTCTCAAGGCTTAAACATCCTTATTTAACCTGTCTCCTCCCCTTCATCTACACTGATTGAAGTGGATTTAACAAGTGAAATTACTAAGGATCATAGCTTTCACCTGGATTCACCTGGTCAGTCTATGTCATGGAAAGAGCAGGTGTTTCTAACGTTTCGTATCACTGGGTTATTTGTATACTGTATTTTACTATATCCTAGTATTGATATAAGGACCGGTTTCGGTTTTTACTTTACCTTCTATAACGGTATTTGAATGTTTGGTTTGTTAAATGGGATACGCCGTGTGTAACGTCCATTTGTATAGTTTACACCCCTAGTCAAATTGCTATTGCAACATTTGGTTAAAAATAAGGCCTAGATTGTTTGGCCATATCGTGCAGCCCTACGTGGCAGTGTGGAAATGACCTCAAATGAGTGCAGAAAATGTAGAAAATGCAGGAAATTATTTTTGGTTGAAGTTGAATTGAACAAGATAAAACAAAATCAGAATTTAGAAAGACCCATGGAAATCACTTAGAATGTACGTGTTGCCAACCCAGTGTCCCTTACTACTCATAAAGCAAATGTATAACTTTTATTATTCAAAAACATAAGATACCATAAAAAAAACGTCAAAATGTTGAAAAATACCATGATACTATATCTTGGCCATATCGCCCAGCCCTAGTTATCTGAGAGGACTTCAGAGCCCCCACATCTCCTTTCTGAGAGGACTTCAGAGCCCCCACATCTCATCTCTGAGAGGACTTCCGAGCCCCCACATCTCCTCTCTGAGAGGACTTCAGAGCCCCCACATCTCCTCTCTGAGAGGACTTCAGAGCCCCCACATCTCCTCTCTGAGAGGACTTCAGAGCCCCCACATCTCCTCTCTGAGAGGACTTCAGAGCCCCCACATCTCCTCTCTGAGAAGACTTCAGAGCCCCCACATCTCCTCTCTGAGAGGACTTCAGTCCCCACACCACCTCTCTGAGAGGACTTCAGAGCGTGTGTGTTGCTTTGCGTGTAACAGAAGTTAATAGAGAGGAGGGAACATGGGGCTAATAGAGGACAGTCACACACCTGTCTCTCCAGTCCTCACTAGACATGGCCTATCCTATAGAAAGTACTGCTGACTGGGGTCTCTCCAGTCCTCACTAGACATGGCCTATCCTATAGAAAGTACTGCTGACTGGGGTCTCTCCAGTCCTCACTAGACATGGCCTATCCTATCCTATAGATAGTACTGCTAACTGGGGTCTCTCCAGTCCTCACTAGACATGACCTATCCTATCCTATAGAAAGTACTGCTGACTGGGGTCTCTCCAGTCCTCACTAGACATGACCTATCCTATCCTATAGAAAGTACTGCTGACTGGGGTCTCTCCAGTCCTCACTAGACATGACCTATCCTATAGATAGTACTGCTGACTGGGGTCTCTCCAGTCCTCACTAGACATGGCCTATCCTATCCTATAGAAAGTACTGCTAACTGGGGTCTCTCCAGTCCTCACTAGACATGGCCTATCCTATCGAAATATATTGTCATACATCATTCACATCATTATAAATTATTCATTATGGTGACATTCCGGATAACAACAACAATGCTTTGTTTCCAGTCTGTGTTTGAACAGTTAAGTTGCCTTGGAAACACACACACAACAAGAATTCCCAGGGGCGTCGCCGGGAGAAACGGGACAAACAGAATTCCCTCATGATTCCACGCAGCAGGAATGTCACATAACACATTAAACACACATAAACAAATAGGTCATACAATCCAGACCTGGGGAAATTTCTGTTAGTCTCTTCAGGATTTGGAAAAAGGAAGCACTATTTTGGGACCTTTCCATGTCTATATTTTCCAGTCCTCCTTGTTGTCCATGTCGATATGAATATTAAAAGCATGTCCCAAGTGTCTATGTTGAAAGCAGCAAGATAATAGAGCAGCAACTGATGATTGTCTAGTTTTAGCAACATTAAACCTTTTTAGAATCTATTTACATACGCCCCCAGGAAGAATATGACGCCTTTTATTGATTTATTCTGACAAGCGACCACTTGGTCATTTTCACATTTTCATACTTTCATCGAATATTTGGGAATGACGTACAGTAAGGCCTTTGTGAAAATTCTATATCGATATAGAGTGGGAAAGCAGCTGTGCGTTTGGACAATTAATAGACACTGCAGTAAATAAAACCTAATAAACACATATGTCTATTCCAGGACCGGTGCACCATAGCCAACCAGAGCTACAGTAGGCCTATATGCAAATAAGCCATTTGCCACACAGGCCTGCCATCATTCACTTTGAACTGGACTGTGTTTTTACAGGCAGTAGCAACAGCACAGCTTTAGATCATTAGAAAGCATTCGCCAAAAGCCACAAAGTACACCTGAATGGATTTCTGCAAATATGTAAACACCACGGGGGTCGTCTTACATTTGGGAACTTCACAGTCCTATTGATCAAACAACCATGAACAGGTAGGCTCTCTCCCTTCCTCAGTTGCCTATGCACATCAACAACAAGATCAACAACTAATGTTAGCCAGAGCAAGATAAGCTAAAATCTAACGAGGGAACAGTAGATAAATCCTCTCAAACTTTTTAGCTTGTAGTTGGCCATCAAAATTACACTGCTAAACGATGGGTAATAGTAGCCTGCTCGCCCTTCTGCAGCTTGCCTTCCGATGCATGCTTATCCCAAACCACGTTTTAAATCATTGAATGGGAACTTGCCTGGCTCCCCGCACATTCGATCGATCCCAAATACATTTGATTGACAACTAAGAGATGTGTTAACTGTGGATAGTTGTTCAAGTTTAGCATAGCTAGCTAGCAAAGCGATTCACATTTCTTGCTAGCTAACCAAATGACTCCTGCATCTCTAGCTGTAGCCACTATATAAACGATATGGGGGAAAGAAGACGGCCACTTACCCACTCGTCCAATGACATGACATCCTCCCAGTAGCTAGTTAGTTAGCGAGCTAACGTTAGGCTCCGTGTTCTTAGCTTACTAAATAAATAGCTACATAAATAGATATGCTAGCCTATTAGCCACATTATGACTGACTTGTGGTCATTGCCGTTGCTAGTTTGATTGTATTGACATTCCCAGCCTTAGTTACATTCTTCAGTTTTTTCCCAAAAATACTGAGTAATTGAAACTGAATCCCGAATGGATGGAGGCAGCAAACAATGTACATTTACATTTTACATATTTAGCAGACGCTCTTATCCAGAGCGACTTACAGTTAGTTAGTGCATACATTTTTTCATACTGCCCCCCCCCCCCCCCGTGGGAATCGAACCCACAACCCTGGCGTTGCAAGCGCCACGCTCTACCAACTGAGCTACACGGGGCCCTAACTGTGATTTACAACCTGATAGCAATAATTGTTGGACTACCAAGAAACGTATTGGTGAATTACGGTATATTGACTATGCATTGAACTGCATCCTATCTATTCTGCCAACAATGCCTTAATCAATGTCATGGAATGTTGAGTCAAATAGAAACTCATTTTAAAACCTATTTTTTGAAGTTGGTGTTGTAACATAAACTGGGAATTTGATATTTTGGACTGATATGTTTGTTTCATATCTGCAAAGTCATTAAAACGCTGTCAGTTCCACTTTAAAAGACAACAGTTATCTGTGTCTATGGCAACAACAATAATGACTCAAATGTAAATGTAAACAATCTAACCAAATAAAGAAAAAAGTGTGTGTGTGTCTTACAATCTAGCTGCTTTGCCAATCGTGTAACGTTCAGATGCTCTGGTTGGTGGAAATCACGATCGGGGAGGTAAATGAGGCTTTACAGCAATTAAACAAGGGTAAATCACAGAGTGCTGATGTTTTACCGGCTGAATTTGATCAGATTGGTTTTAAAGATGTATCTGAAATGTTAACCGATGTATTGAATCAAGGAACGGAAAACGGAATGCTTCATGATTAATTAAATCACGGTGTCATGTCTCTTCTATACAAAAAGACTGATGAATATTAATTGAATAATTGGAGACCTCACAATGATGAATGTAGATCATAAAGTTTTCGCAAAAGTCATTATGAATAGATTGAATGATGTTCCAGATGTTAATAATAGAGAGAGAGAACAGCTATATTAAAAAGGGAGATTAATGTGGGATAACCTCTGTACAGTATGACAAATACTATTCTCCCCGTGTGAGTCCGTTTTTTTTAATACTAAGCTTAGACCAGAAGAAAGCATTTGATTATATTTAGAGGGAGTATTTATGGGCAGTTCTTAAAATGGTATGTTTTTCCAGATGGTTTTTATAAAAATGGTAAAAAATGACTGTATGCCTTTAATGCTGAGGGAGGTGTAAAACAGGGTTGTCATCTTAGTGCAGCACACTGTGTGCTGGCCGTCAGCCCCTTGTTAAAAAGTATTTAAAAAGATGATAGGATAAAAAGGTGTAGCTGTTGGTAATAGAAGTCGTGTAGTGGTCTCTGCTTATGCCGACGACGTAAGTCTTTATTCGTTCGCAAGAATTACATTTCGTAAATTATCATTTTGGATTACACGAGAAAGTGTCCGGTGTGAAGTTAAATGAAGAAAAAAAAAACTGAAGGAGTTTGAATGGGTGATCAGCTTTCTAAACCTTCCATCCATTTAGAACTTCAAGATGAAATTAAATGACTCGGGATCTATTTAAGTGGAAATGAATTGTGCTGAGATTGGGATCGAAAATAAGCTATAGTACATGAGGTTAAGAAATGGTCTGATCAGAACAGCAGCTAGAAATGGTCTGATCAGAACACCAGCTAGAAATGGTCTGATCAGAACACCAGCTAGAAATGGTCTGATCAGAACACCAGCTAGAAATGGTCTGATCAGAACACCAGCTAGAAATGGTCTGATCAGAACACCAGCTAGAAATGGTCTGATCAGAACACCAGCTAGAAATGGTCTGATTAGAACACCAGCTAGAAATGGTCTGATTAGAACACCAGCTAGAAATGGTCTGATCAGAACACCAGCTAGAAATGGTCTGATTAGAACACCAGCTAGAAATGGTCTGATCAGAACACCAGCTAGAAATGGTCTGATCAGAACACCAGCTAGAAATGGTCTGATCAGAACACCAGCTAGAAATGTAGAATAAATATTGTTAAGATGTCTATTTTGTGTATGGGTGGTCCTCCGTAGCTCAGCTGGTAGAGCACGGCGCTTGTAACGCCAAGGTAGTGGGTTCGATCCCCGGGACCACCCATGCATGACTAAGTCGCTTTGGATAAAAGCGTCTGCTAAATGGCATATTATTATTATTATTATTATTATTATATAAGCTAATGTTCCTAGGGGTTATATTCCCCCCCTACTGATGATTACATCCTAAGGCTCAATAATGCACGTGTTCTGTTAACATGGGGTTCCAATAGGGAGGTAACAAAGAGAGATATTCTTTTTAAAAGTAAAGCATTAGGAGGCCTCGGTGCAGTGAACATAGGTGTGAAGTGCTATAGCTAGAAATATCCTGCAGGGGTGGGGAAAATTATGTAGGAAATCTTTTTTTTTTAAATGTACCTCATCACATGCTATGGCGACTTTACTGACAACGTTCAACATTTGAATATTAACTGGAATAGTGATTTCGAACAAAACGATTTATAAATTGATGTCTGATTAAATGTACGATGGTGAAGTCACCAACCTGACCCCAGCAGAAACTAAAGAATGCATAAAACGTTTACTCAGTACACAATAGTCCGAAAATGCCAGAGATACTGCATGGTTGATTTCTGTACCGCGTTTACCAGTGCGTGCTGTACTAAAGTGGAGCAGTTTTGATAAAAGTCAACGTTGTCCTATTGCCGAATTGTACTGATGAAGAGAGTTTAGTACACATTTCATTGAACTGCTACAGGACTAAAGAAATATGGGACCTGATGAAAAGTATTGATTTCGCTGTACGTATAAAAGCCCAAGACAGTCTTTCACGTTTTTCTTTTTTTATACTCACATG